TGTTTATCAGAATCACTGGACCTCCTCCCTCCCAAAATCACATCCTCCCTTCAAAATTAATAATTTTGGAGGGACTGTGGGCATAATTAGAAGAGTAACTCTCTGTCTTCAAGATTTTTATATGTTCCCTAAAGCCCAAGTTATAATATTGGGTGAAGGAGAGGTGGCCATAGGTATGTGCTTTGAAGATAAAACAAAGTCTACAGAGAATCTCTATATGCTCTCTTGAGAACCAACAACTTGATATGTGGTCTTCTCATGTCTCAAAATGAACATGACTAAAATTAATTAATGTCTTCCAAACCTTCTCATATTTTTCCTCTCCATTAAAACCTTGGTTAACTCTCTTGCCCTCAACTCGTATATCCAATAAGATGCTAAATCCTATTATTCAACCTCTGTTTTGTGTCTTATCCTTTCTTCCTTCCATTCTTGTGGCCACTCTCACATTTTAGGTTCTAATTACTTTCTGCCTAAACAATGATTATACTTGGAATTCCAAGCCAATCAAATCTAAAAGAAACCAAATAATAGAAATACATTTTCTCACTCAGAAACAGAGTTCTTAAAGTGAACTCCAAGTCTGTAAACTAGCAGAGAAAGATCGGTATATTTTGTCTAATAATCAGCTTTTCAAACCATTTCAAACCACTTATAATGAGGCTGGAAATTAGAACTCCTCAGTTACTCCTCCTTTAAAATACAAAACTATGGAGAATTTCAGACTTTAATCTAGAATTTTAAACTTTAAATAGTTATATTTTAGACTTTAATCCCTTGATTCCTTTTCACAGAGGACAAATTAATGGCTTTTCAAAAATATAATTTATTCAGCTGGATAATGACTTTATTTCAAATTCTTAAGGAATTTCTGGTCAAAACAAAATGGGATATAGATACGAGTTCTTGAGTAAGTTACTGGGACACCTTTGTAACTGAATAACTGATGGAATGATGCCAGGTGACAAGCAGCCTCTTCCGACTCGCTTAAGAATCTCTAGATTCTGCACAAGAACATTATATAACCACAGAAATCTACATCTACAAACTTAGAAATTCAAAATACTTTCATGTTTAAAATAGTTCTTAAATGCACCACTTTGTATCTTATTGTTATGAAAACTTAAAAAAACCCATAGAATTTAAAATGCACATTATAAAAACCAATCCACTTTAACATTCAGCATTAACATCTGGATTGAATCTACTACCAGAATTTGTCAGCCAAAGGCATAAGAAATAAGAAGTAATTTTAGAAGATAATCTAGAAAATAAAGATAAAAAAGAATAGTAAAAAAAGAATAATAGAAGGTAAAGGTCATACTTATACTGTCAAAATATAGCAAACACTTCAGAAAACATTCATTTTATTTGGTTTTGGTCCCATCCAATTATAAAAGAGATTTTATTGCAAGTACTGTGACAAACGCATAGAAAATATGAAACAAGTCCCCTGGGTGGGTGACTCAGTTGGCTGGAATGTCATCCTATGCACCAAAAGGTTGTGGTTTTGATTACCAGTTAGGACACAACCTAGGCTGTTGGTTCACTCCTGATTGGGGCACATATAGAAGGCAACCTATTGATGCTTCACTCTCTGTCTCTGTTTTTCTCTCTGTCTCTGTCTCTCTCTCTAAAAAAATCAATAAACATATCTTCAGGTGAGGATTAAAAAATATGAACAAAGTCTAATAACAAGCTAATGCATTGACTAAGGATTCTCATATCAACAAACAGAGTGTCTTCCAGTAGCAAGAACATTCACTCCACTCCCTTGTGGGTGTTTGCTTAAAGGGTTATTTAGTTTATTTGCCTATTCAGAATATAGTTGTTATACAGACTCAATATATCTATTTGCATATACAGAATCAATACTAACTTTTCCATTAAAAAAACAATTTTATTCAGGAAAATGATGTATCCAGCTAAAAACTAATTTTTCTGCTTTCTTACAGCTAAGTGTGGCTTGTGGCTAGAATTCTGGCCAAAGAAATATAAGTAGTATGTTGGGGTGGGATTCTGAGGAAATACTTTAATAGGTGACGGAAACTGAAAGGCATTATTTTAAGCACACAAATGTACACACAGAAAAGTGATAAAGACAATAAACGTTTACTCTTGGAATGTAACTTTAAAAAGACATGGTCAGGGTAGCATAAACATATTTAATTTATAATTATGACCAAGGAGTCAGTAGACTAAGTAGCAAAGTTGGAAACTTTTGCTGGAAATTCTATTTCCTGCAAAATGGTAACATAAAACAAATCAATAGGAAAATGTATTTACTAAGTTTACTTAAAAAAATACTTATGTTGAAATGATTCCTTTTACTCCCTGAACTCTAAAAAAAAAGCTGGCACCTTTGAGCTCTTTTCAAATAATTAGTACAAAAAAGAAAAAGAAAAGTGGAATCAGTTGACTTTTAGAGGTCCAAGTAGATAGTAAGTCAACTAAAATTAAAACAAAGCAAATGGACAGAACATTTTCCTAGGTAACAATCTTACCATCGTATTTATTTCAGCAGCCTATTTAATCTAAATGAATCAACTACCCCTTTAGCACCACTGGGTATTACCAAAATCTGAGGAAAAAACCCAAAGCAGATAGGAACCTTTTATAATATAAATGGAAACCTACTGCCTTTTTTCAAAGAATGGGAGATAAAATGATATGACATATTTTGGTTTTTTTTAAAAAAAGGATTTTATTTATTTTTAGAGAGAGGGGAAGGGACAGAGAAAGAGAGGAAGAGAACCATTAATGTGTGGTTGCCTCTCACATGCCCCCAACTGGGGATCTGGCCTGCAACCCCAGGCACGTGCCCTGACTGGGAATTGAACCAGTGACTCTTTGGTCACAGTCTGGCACTTCATCCACTGAGCCACACCAGCCAGGGCCATATTTTGATTTTTGTGCCAGTCATAAATCATTCATTAAGAAAACAGCTAATGAATGACAGCTGCTCTGTAGCCTGTACATTTATAGAGCCTTAATTTTTAGTTTAGAAAATAGCTCAATGATACGTAATCTTCTCTCCCTTATATATGTCTAGGAATTCATTATCAAATGCCTAGATCTAAATCAAAATAAGGTCATGCATCTATGCCATTTTTATTAGAGAATATTTTTAAGATTCAATTGACAACCTATGATTATTTGTCAATTTTTCTTATACTTTCCAGTAAAATACAATGTTGGACCAAAAAACAAGCAAACAGGCAAGCAAACACAAGAGTCTGAACTGGTTGAGAGCTACAGGCTATTTTATTTTATTTCTTTTCTTTTCTTTTTTTCTTTTCTTTTTTTAATCCTCACCTAAGAATATGTTTTTATTGCTTTTAGAGAGAAAGGTGGGGGGAGCGAGGAGGGAAGAAAGGAGGGGGAGGCAGGAGGGAGAAAGAGGGAGAGAGATGGATCAGTTGCTTCCTGCCTCCTGTATGTGCCCAACGGGAGATGGAACCTGCAACCCAGGTATGTTCCCTGGCCAGATACCAAAGCTGTAGCCTTTTGGTGTACAAGATGATGCTCCAACCAACTGAGCCACCTGGCCAGTGCCTGGCAATTTTAAAAATTAAAATTCACTGCTTGCTGCTAACCCAATTTCTTTCAGGTCCAAAAAAATCTTTCAGGCTGATTAGGAATGCACATTTAATTCCTTTAAATAAACTGATAGCTTAAAAATGGTAATTTAATTAAATATAACAGAAGATTAAACAAAACTAGTGTGGAGATAGGAGGCTAAAACTAAAAAAGTTCCACCATTTCATCTATTTCAAGGACTGTTAAGCCACTTAAAGCATATACAAGTGGAAATAGGCAACAGTAGATTTGTTAAATGTTACCTTTCTAATAAACCAAATAATTAGAGTAAAATAGAAAAGAAAACAACATAATCATAAAGCTCTTACTAGTCATTAGCATCACAATTTTCTCCCAATGCCCCTTTTACAGGTTACTAGTAAAAATTAGAAATTTTTCATTTACTATATTTTAATGAAATGACTTTCAAACTTTTACAGTGGAGAAACCTGGCAGATACCACCTCAACAAAGCAATTAAAATTACCATCGCCAATAACGGGACAGATGGACATCATGAGACTTCTGCTATAATGGACATTATTGAGACAATTGGCAAAATTTGAATAAGGTCTGTAGATTTGTTAAAACCATTGTGTCAACGTTAATTTCCTACATGTCTTTGTTTTTAGAAAATACACATCCAAGTATATATCCGTAAAGGAATAAATACCATGTTTGCAACTTATTTCCAAATGGTTCAGGAAAAAAAATCCCCACCAAAAATATATAGATAGATAAAGCAAATGTAATAAAATGATAACATCTGCAGAATCTGGGTGAAGAATATATGGAAATTCTTTATACTTTTAACTTATTGTTATAACTTTTATTTTTATTTTTAAATTGACTTCAGAGAGAGAAAGAAGGGAAAGGGAAAGGGAGACCCCAGAGAGAGAGCAAAAAATATCGTTCTGTTGTTCCACTTATTTATGCATTCAGTGGTTGTTTCTTGCATGTGCCCTGACCAGGAATCGAACCCAAAACCTTCATGTACTAGGACAATGCTCTAACCAACTGAGCTAGCTGGCCAGGGCCATATTATAACATTTTTAGAATAAATTATTCTTATAACTTTTCTATAAGGATAAAATAATTTCAAAATAAAAGTTAAAACAATTAAAAACAATAAAAGGTAAACAAATATAGCATTAGCTTATAAACATTTAAGAAAAAGAGGTGACTAAAGAGCAAATTGTAGATTATCATGATGGGTACAATTTTGGTTTAATTATTCATGTGCTTAAATTATTATTGCTGCCTTTCATCTAAGGATATTGGGAGTACTTTACAAACACACTTTATAAATGAAAAAAGAGACATGCAGAAAAGCTCCCAAAATGTGACAAGTTGATTGTGGAAAGGAAATAAGGAAAATTTGAGGTTTAATTGATAGCATAATATTAAGATGTAATCATTTACCTTGCTCTATTGTAAATCACTGGTTCATTTTCTTCCTGCACAGTTGTCAGCATATCCAAGTCATGGAATATTTTCTGCATATAGTCCAAATATTTATATCCTGAAGCTCTTTCAACTATGGCTGCCAGCAGGGTATAGCCAAAAGTTGAATACAAAAACTGACTACCTTGAGACATCATTGCAGGGAGGAAAAAAAGAAAATGATTCATTATTATTTAAAAACATGTAAGTATTTTCCCACTGAAAGTTGGTATATATCTTAAAATTGGAATATTTCACTTCAGCATTTATAACACATTGTGGATGATGTATTAAAATTTAGTCAGCTTTGTCATGACCTTGCTTATTCCATGTCCCTAACACAATAAAATTATTATCAATATACTTAAAATTTCACATGCATCTACTCCTTTCTATGATAATAAAGTAAATAATATAATTCTACCTCAAACATAACACATATCCTACAAAGTGGCAAAAAAAAATAGGAAGGGAAAGAAAAAGCAAATTTGGATTCTTGAGTTAACTGTCTTGTTCTGAATATAATCACTCCCCATTGTTTAAGGCATAAATAGTTGTACAAGTTATTTTAATAAAACATATGTAGGTATAAAAACCTTTTTTCAAATACATATTACAATACAAACACATATTCAAATATGTGCATTGTTTCAAATATTAACTTTTTCTCATTTTAGATTCTGGAAATGTACTAAAAATGCGTGAGAAACTTATTTTTTAATATCCAAAATTATATATTAACATCTTTGCCCTTATTCATTATACCTATATAATACTTACTCATGGTAAAATATCTTTTAAAATGAAAATGGAATAAAAGAAGATAAACCTACGTTTAGTTTGAAGATATTAAGTGGTTTCAGTAGGCATCATACCAAAAGGTATACAAAAACAAAGTTATTTTTATAAATTAGTGTTTTTGAAAAGAAAATTAAGTGGATGAACACTAATTTCTTTAAGGAATAAAGGCAAAACAAGTTGAGGAATTTAAATTATACCTAAGTACTAAAGTACTAACAATACTTTATCATGTCCACTTTGGTCCAGTTTTTGTTTGGACCAACATTTCTCCATAATTTTTCCGCAAATATCTTGAAATATTAAATCCACTAAGTGACTGGGTAGCCTCTGTAAGGCTAAACCTAAACAACTAGCTGCCTGGACATTAGTCAGGAATTACGTGTGAAGTTCTTAACTATTGTTAAGAAATGCAGACAAGCTCTGGCCAGTGTGGCTCAGTTGGCTGGAGCTCACCCGTAGACCAAAGGGTTGCGGGTTCAATTCCTGGTCAGGGCACATAGCCAGGTTGCGGGGTTCAATCCCCATTTGGAGTATGTATGAGAAGGTCGCCAATCAAGGTTTCTCTCTCTCTCTCCCTTCCTCTCTTTCTAAAAGCAATGAAAAAAATAAATGTCCTCAGGTGAGGGACAAAAAAGAAAAGAAATGCAGACAGAAAGCAAGCACTGGATTAATAACAAAATCTATGCCATAACCACCTACCACATCAAAAGCATTCAGGATATTATTTTGGATTTTCTGAAAATTAACTCTTCAATAATGATGAGTTTGTGAAAAGAAGAAATTAACACTCACCAGGTTTAAAGAACAAAGGATCATTTTTAAATAATCGTAGGGATTCAATTGAATTTTCGAACTTCTCTTTCAAGTATAATTCGCCTTGTTCAAAATCATTTTTTTTCTTGACAGGTTTGGAATTCCGGCCTTTGGCTTCATTATCCTGCTCTATCTTAGCTTTAGCAAAGTCATTCCTTTCATTAATTTTGCCTCCTTTTTCTTTTAACTCTTTTTCTTGGTCAGATTCTATCTCTTTCATCATCTTCAAGGCTTTATAAGCTTTCTCTTCTTTCACCTTTTTCATGTCTTTTTCATAATGACGAATTCCACTTAAATGGGAAATCAATAATCTTGTTGTGACAGACACCTAATTATAAAAACACGAGCTTTAGTTGCATTATTAAACTATAACAGAAAGTTAGTATCCTCGGAATAATGCCTTAGTAATAGTTTTCATTTTAAACTGCTGTTGGAAAAATATTTAACATACAAATCTTTAGCCTCAAATATCAGAAAATACCCACTTGATTATCATTTGGATACAAAAAAAATTAACAATAAGTAAAAACAAACCGAAGAGTCCTTGCTGGTTAGCTCAGTTGGTTAGAGTATCGTCCCCATGTGCCAAGGTTGTGGCTTTGATCCCAGTCAGGACACATACAAAGAAGCAACCAATGAAGCATAAATAAGTGAATGACAAATCAGTTTCTCTCTCTCTTCCCCCCTTCCTCTCTCTCTAAAGATCAATGAATTTAAAAAGAATCTAAACCAAACCAAACCAAAAAATCCTATGCAACCTTTTAAACTACTATTAAATGTGCCATTTGAAACCAGTTAGTTTCATTACCTTTTCACCTTCATATTCTTTTTCTGGGAATTCGGGAACATAATGTTGTACTGGAATATCAAGATCCAGTTTCCCCGCTTCCCACAATTTGGCAAGAGCAACCATGGTAAGGCTTTTGCTGATACTCGCAATTCTCATAACTGTCTCTGGTTTGCATGGTACACGGTTCTCCACATCGGCATAACCTAAACCTTTGGGGAAAAAAAAGCAAAAAAATCACTACTAATAAGCTTCATGGAAAGGAGACTTAAAAAAGTGAAATAACACTATCTTAAAATATCACGTGTATTCATCTGAAGAAAAGATATTCCATTTTTTAAAAAAGATTTTATTTATTTATTTTTAGAGCTAGGGGAAGGAAGGGAGAAAGGGAGGGAGAGAAACATCTATTGGCTGCCTCTCATATGCCCCTAACTGGGAACTGCCCGCAAGCCAGGTGTGTGCCCAGACTGGGAATCGAACCAGTGACCTTTCCCTTTGCAGGGATGATGCTCAACCAACTGAGCCACGCCACTCACAGCAATATTCCTCTTTTATCAGTTAATGAAAACTTAACATGTAAGAAATGAGTGTCTTGACACTGACAACAGTAAGTCTAACAATTTAACCTTATAACTAAACTGAATTGTACATTGGGCACGACAGTAATTTTCTAGCTGATTCAAATAATAATTTTTCTAGGTTTACCTAAACAATTTGGTAATGCCACATTTTAAATAAATTACTACACATTCTTTAAAGAAAACATCATTGTTTTTCTTCAGATTATATTTATTTTTGATGTTTGAGTGATTTTTCACTGAATTCTTTAAAATAGCCTCCAATAAAAATAAACGTGAAGAGGACCTGCAAACCCAATCTAGCTAACTATCAATTTAATTCAGCTGTAAGTCAGAGGGAAAGCAATGTACTACCAATTTAAAGCTCTTTCTACAAAAATTTTTAAGTTTCATTTCATCTTCTGTATAGGCTGAAAGTGGAAATCTAAGAGATAGAAGGAAATGAAATCTAAAAAGAAAGAAAAGGCATACAATGATTGTTTTTAAACTGTAAAGGGATTATGCTATAATATTTGCATAAAAACAAGGCCCTTGCCTATAGAGCTGACATTGGTATAATTTTGGTTACAATATTTTTCATAAGTCACGTATATTCATTAGGCTATACTTGGGGGAAGAATCGTTTTTCTTTAAATTCAATTCTCTACTCCCCGCATAGTAAGTGGCAAATAAGTACTACTTTATTTAAAAGATATCTGAGACAACATTTCCTAAAAGTACAGTTCCTCAAAACCTAGACTGACAAGTTGGTCCAATTTCTGTGGAATGAAGAAGTAAATCAAATGATAAAATATGATTTGATACATGTATCATAAAATGATTAAAAGTTCCCAAAGCTTCTAGCTTTTTGTTTCAAAAAATAGCTGCCACTTCTGCCTACTCAAAAAAATTAATGAAGTATATAGTAAACTTGTTAAGGTCAGGAATTGTGAGCCTTTTACAGAATAGGCAACTCAATAAATTGTTGACTGAATTAAGAAGAAAAACAAAATTCTGACATTTTATGTACCCATAAGGGTTATCTACAGATATGCATTTAACAGATTGTCCATATACAACTTTCAGAACAATAAATCCAATCTTTAAAGAAGAGTGGGCATAGAAAGAAGCCATTTTTAAGACTCTTAACTTATTCATTAGTCACATTTAAATCTTATTGATAGAAACTGGATACTTTGAATCTTATTGATAGAAACACATTTTCTCCAACATGGATAGTTTTATGTAAACTGAATAGTATTTCATGAGATTTCACGCCAAGCAGTAGAACATCAAGATTTCACTTAACAACAGGCATAAAACAAGTTATTAAACAACACTTTTCTGAGCCTACCTTCGGACCAGATTTCTTTTCCATCTACAGAGACTCCAACCACTATGCCGGGCGCGCCCACCTCATCCTAAGAGCGAAGGGGAAAAGAACGGACAGCTCAGGTACCTCCACCAGCGCTCGCACCCGCGGCGCGTTCCAGGCTCCGCCCCCGACACGCCCCTCTATCTGAGCCCCGCCCACCCCGGCTGCAGCTGTGCCGGGCGCTAACGGTGAGGGGTGTGCCCGCTTGCACCACGAGTGGGAAGGGGCGGTCCCCGAGGCGGGCGGTGACCTCCACCCCGATTTGGGCAACCCCCAAGAGCGTCTCGACCGCGGCCGGACGGTCGGAAAACGGGAAGTCTTTCTCGGAAGCTGGCTGTGGGCATCCCATAGCCCAGGTTGGGGTCAGCTCGGCCCGGAGAGTTGACCACCGAGGGGCCCCATTCCGGGGTAACACTGAGGTTGGGACGGTGGGTTCCCAACCGCCTACGACCCTCGTCGCCGTACCTTGATCCTGTGCAGCAGGTCACGGCTACTGTCAATGGCTCTCGCGTAGTGCCTGGTGGTGGGCGGCGTCTGGGTCTGCAGAGACCAAGGGGCGAGGGGCTGCTCCTTCGGCGGCGGCGACTCCACTTGAGGCGACACCTCGGGGTCGGGGGCTGTCGGGGATGGCGCGGGGGCTGCTCCCCTTAGCCCGCCAGCCAGCTTCACTCCGAGCGCCAGCCCCAGCCCTAGCCCGAGGCCCCCGACCCAGCCGGGGCCGAGCGGCGGCAGCCTGGCACGATAGTGGGCTCCGCGCCGCCCATAGCCCCAGGCCCAGCCTCCCAGGGTCGCGGCTCGGGTCGTCACGGCTGACTGGAGCCGGTACATGGCTTCTCTGGCGAGACTGCAGCTTCGGAGTTCGCTCAGACCGGGCCGGCGGCGGAGGCACTGGGGAAAGAGGGGAAGGGAGGAGAAGGGAGTGGAGGAGGCGGCGACCGCGCTCAGGCACTAGCAGTCGACGCCCGATGGTCCGAGCGCCGATCGCTTCGAGCCCTTCCTCCTCTCCTTTTCCTCTTTGCCTTGACGCTAGATATCTCTTTCATCCCTCGCTCCCCACCCCAGACGAAGTGTCACCTTTTCAGAGAAGCCTTCCTAGGCCCTGGGAGAACTCCTCCGGGCGTTCTCGCCACACCTTGACCGCCAGTGCGCACACCTCCTTAATAGTACTTAACACTTTGTTTCCTTGAACTAATCTGATTCCTTACTAGGCTGTGACCTCTCTGGATCCCCAGCTCCTGGAACAGCGCCTGGCATCTTCTTTTCTCTCAGAACGCTCTTTTCTCTTTCTTGCCATCTTCATTTTTTTATGTATCATTTCAGCTCAAAAGGCTCTTGTAAAAGCCTTTTATTTCCAGAGATCCAGTTTCACACCACATCAAACATATTAAGTTATATACAGGGCTGATATTAAATTGTTGTTGTAAAAGAAAAGTTTTTTAAAAATTTGCACCTGAAAAATTTTAATCTAAAATAATTAATGTGGTTTACAGTTAGCCATGATTTCTGGTATCTCTAGATGATCAGATATTCTTGTGAAAGAAATTAACCTCAAATTGCTACAAAACCTAAAACGTATATAATCCTAATTGAACAATTAATGGCATAATGTTAATTTTGAAGATAATTAAATGTCCACTCCAGTTTTACAATTTTCTCTTTATACTTTAGGAGGTACACATATACACGCATTCCTGAAAGATTTTTGAAAGCTTATTGGCCTTAAGTACTGGGGCAATGTACCCAATATATAAAATGATCCTGTCTTGTAGGTGGAATATATAGAGAGTTCATAGGTTTGAATTGACAAGGTGTTGTCAGGGGAAAAAAAAGCTGTAAACAACATGAGTTAATAATTGTTAACTGGAGGAAAAGGCAATAATGGTAACCACACATAGTCAGAAAATACTGGGGCTAAATAATTATAAGGTACTGGGGCTGCTCACAAAGCCTACACCCCCAAAAGGCCAGGGTATGCTAGGACCCAAAGGATTTGGCGTGGAACTCACAGAAGTCCTTAGAGCTCCACCTGCAGTTAGAGTGGAGAGGTGCACTCTGTCAAGATGATACTGGAGATTCCTATCACAGGGGCCCCACTACATAAGTATATGACAGTGAGAAAAAAGAATACAAAGAGAAAAATGTAAAAGACAGCCAATGACGGTTACAATAAGTGCTGATTTTATCATTATTTAGAAAACTTTACATATATATTTTATGCATTCTTCCAAACCTCTCCTTGAATCAGAACTGGGACAAAACACAGAGGCATATAGAGAGCAAAAGCCAAGGTCCAGGTGGACTTCCACCAGTTTAGAAGTAGATAGAGGTCACCCAAAGTGTGGCCTCCGTGAAAGTAGCAGAGAATAAACATTCTCCATGCAAACAGAGTGCCTAGGAGGCAACCTGACCAAGCAGCTAGCAGACTTGTTTGTAGGATCTTTACTACCACCATGAGGCAGGAGCCCAGAGCTCCAATATTTTATCTGGCTTTGGGCTGGGAGCCATAAAAACCAGATAGAAGAGAAGTAAGACACTAGACTGGAAGAGGAGTGAGAAGACAGGAAGAGAAAGGAAAAGGAGAGGAAGAAAATGAAAGAAGGAAAAATTTCCACTGAAAACAAACCTATAAACTAAATTTCTAAAACATGAAGGAAAATATTTCTAAGAAAGACTGGCAACAAAATCAATAATCAAAAAGTGAAATCACCTTTGACAAAAGAAAGCAGAACAATCTACAGGAAAAGTAGGAGGTGGAAAAGAGGCCATTCCTTGGCTAAAAATAAAAATATGGGTTGATAGAAAACAAATATATGTATATTTTAAACAATGAGATACCACTATATACCTGTTAGAAAAGTCAAAATCCAAAACATAACAACACCAAGTGCTAGCGAGGATATAGAGCTACAGGAACTCCCATCCATGGCTGGTGGGAATGCAAAATGATACAGCCACTCTGGAAGACAGTTTAGTGATTTCTTATAAAACTAAACATATTCTTTCTATTGATCCAGAAATCATGTTCCTTGGCATTTATTTACCCAAAGGAGTTGAAAACTTACATCCACACAAAAAATGTGCGCATGAATGTTTACAGAAACTTTACTCATAATTGCCAAACCTTCGAAGCAACCAGGAAATCCTTTTGTAGGTAAACAGGTACATAAACTGGTACATTCAGATAATGGAATGTTATTCAGCAGTAAAAAGAAATGAGTTACCAAGCCATGAAAAGACATGGAGGAAACTTTAATGCATATTACTAAGTGAAAGAAGCCAATCCAAAAAGGCTACATATTTTATGATTCTAACTATATGGCATTTTGGAAAAGACATAACTACAGAGACAACAACAAAACAATTAGTTGTTGCCAGAGGTTAGAGGGTAGGGAAGGATGAATAGAGAATAGAGAATATTTAGAGCAATGCAACTGCTTTGTATGATACTATAATGAGGACTATATGTCATTATACATTTGTTCAGATCTACAGAATGCACAATGCCAAGAGTGAACCCTAATGTAAACTCTGCACATTGGCTGATAATTATGTGTCAGTGTAAGTTCATTAATTGTAACAAATGTATTACTCAGGTGTGGGATGTTATACTGGGGGAGGCTATGTATGTGCATGGGCAGGGGGCGTATTGGAAATCTGTGTATCTTCTGCTCAATATTGCTGTAAACCTAAAGCAGCTTTAGAAAATAGTCTAGTTATTAAAATGTAGGGTACAAGTGAAATAGTGATGAGTACTGACAGGAGTTCAAATCACTACACTGGTACTGACTGAAAAAACACCAAATAAAACTTGTCACCCTCAGAATGTTTTCATGTCTTTTCCTGAATGTGGTTATTGCAGTTTCCAAAGCCCAATTCAAGTGCTGCCTCCTGCATGGAGACTTTCTTGATCAGTATCTCTTAAATGTTCTTTCCTCTTTCTCGATCCTTTGTTTTCCAATTATTGCCCATGTTGTTTGTTCTGATTTAGATTGCAAATCATTGAAGGCATAACTTTGTCTTACACGTGTGAGTTGTTTTTAAAATTTTTTTAAAAAATTTATTGATTTGACAGATTTTGTTGTTCTGCTTATTTATACATTCATTGGTTTATTCTTGTATGTGCCCTGACAGGGGAATGAAACCTCAGCCTTGGTGTGTTGGGATGATGCTCTAACCAACTGAGCTACCCAGGCAGGGTACATGTTTGTGTTCTTTGTGGGTTTGAATTTGGGTGGTGAGTTCTGAACCTCAGTTTCTTCATCTGTAGGTTAGGACTAATAATAATGACATCAAAGTTTTGTTGTGAAGAGTAAGTGTGCTTCAACCTGTAGAAAGATAAAATATAAACTTAGGGAATAATAGACTGGTTCATTAGGAGTAGAGATTAGAACAGTTTATTCCCCTTTAATAATATTTTCAGTTAAAAAACAAGATGTCAGCTATTAAAGCCCCTAGTTTTTTTTCCACTACATGTGAACTAATCTTCCAGTTTATACCTGCACAGTTTTTCTTCCTCCCCATGTCTCTTTCCCTCAACTTGTCAACTTAATTGTCTGGTCACTGCCTTAGTGATTAAAGGCAAAATAAGAATTTAATTCCTGTCATCTGAAGATCCAGCCTGTACTTCCCCTGGATTGGGACTTATGGAAAGTTAACAGCCCTGTCTTGAAATGTTAGAAAGACCTTTTTAAAGAAAGTGATGAAGTCATACATGAGCGCATTCTCAATGTAGCAATGGGAAATTTAAACTCTTGGAACCCGGACCAAACCCTGCAGTCCTTCCATGTCTCATCGCTGCAGATCAGCAGGGGATCTGAAACACTGCTCTTAGCTCTGTTGCTACAGTTGACTGTGTGTCTCCTGAATTAGGTGGAAGAGTGTGATGGGTGTCACACATCACTGATGAGCAAGTTGTTCAGCAGAAGGGAACTAACAGAGGGTCTTTCAGTCAGGCAATTTCTCCCGTGGCCTTAATAACAACTAGCCCCAGATAGATTTGCCTCCTGGGGAGGTGGGAAAGAATTGTCTTTAGGTCCCAAGAGCAAAGAATGAGGTAACAGAATGCTGTAGGCATCTGTTTTAGTCTCAGAGCTCTAAACAATTTTCTGCCACAGATGTTAAAATATCCAGAATCCATGCAGAACAGAACAGATGATATTATTCATCCTGCCTCTGCTGCTCTGAGAGCCTTCTGCAAATCACAGCATTTGATGACTCGTGTGTGGAGCAACCCTGCCTATGCTCACAGGCCGTATTCAATTCACTTTAGCTTAGAAAACCTTTTACAGAGAGTCACTATGGGGACTGGTTTCTACACTGGGGATGTACAAAGATGAATGAGCACCAGCAAATACTCAGGAGCTCACAGCAGAGAAGACAGGTGGAGGAGCCCTGCACATGGCCAAGTATGCTCTGCTCCGCACCAGGGTGCCTGGGAGGGGGCAGTGGGCTGAAATTCAGCCTGTGCTCCTATTCCCAAGCTGTGTGTCTGACTCTGAAGAAGGGCTGCCTTTTTCGAATATGCACAAAGGAGCAATGTGTGCTCCTCGCAGCCCTGGACCGAGGTGCCGATTTGGAACTCATTAATGCAGAAGGTTAAGTGTTATAATAGAGACAGATATCAATAGCTATGGGAAGGGAGGAGAGAGCAGGTGAGTCTCCCTAGAGTAGGAATTAAGGAGAGTGATGAAGAGGGAGGGCACATTTCAGAAGGGCCTTGAAGAAGAACAGGAATTCGCCCTGTAGAACTGGTGAAGGAAAGACAAACAAGGCAGAAGAAACAGTGAGCGACGGTGCAGAGGCTCACCCTGTGACGCCTGTTTTTGGAACAGGGAGTAAGTAGCTCAACCTGGTCGGTGGACTTGAGGCCAGAGGGACGTAGAGCCAGATGGTACAGGCTTTACAAGCCACACTGA